TGAAATGGGAAATGAACTGCTTCAAGATCTGCTGTAGAATCCACATGCCCACCTTTTAACACTGGCTTACCCACCCAACTGAAGCAGTCAGTGTCACCAACCAGTGACAACTGACACAGCAGAGGATGGGGCGGAGCAGGAGGGGAGCCGAGGATGACCTCCCATGTTTCTCATGATAGAGAGGAGACGAGCAGTGTTCCACAACACACAAGCCATTCTCCACTCTGACGGCCACTTTAGTGGAGGTGGTAGGGTTTTACGTAGCCATCTGCGGTAGCCAGCCTTCAAGTAGCCCCCAATGACCCTTGACTCCTGGTGTCCACACCCTGTGTAGTCTCCTCCCACACTGCTCCCGAGTTGGTCAGTGTGACCCACAGAACAGAGCAGAATGGACAGCAGGTCCCTTCCAAGATGAGGTTATAAGACACTGCAGCTTCCGTCCTTCTCACTCTGCCCCTCTTCTGGATCACTCACTCTGGAAGAAGCAGCCCTTAGGTCATGAGCAACCCTACAGAGAGGCCTGTGTGGTGACCAATGGGAGTTTCCTGCCAGCAGCTATGCAAGTGCGCCCAGGAGCAGACCCTCCAGCCCCGGTCAAGCCTTCGGATGACCACAACTCCATGAGAGACCCTGAGCCAGAGACACTCACCAAATGTGAGCCAGATGCTCTGATTCCTGACCTCAGGAGTAGTAAAATAATGTTTGTTTTAAACTGCTTTGTTTTGAGATAATTTGGCTCACAACAATAAATAAGACAATTGGACTCAGTTCATCTCCACAATACAGCTCAGGTAGCAACAGGCATTAAAATTTATTTTCCTTGATAATGCTTCGGACAACTTATGTCTCCCTCCAGGCGGACTAAGAAATCGTTTGTGGGAGGTTGTATCAAGGCTGCTGTCCCTCAGTTTCAAATTTGCCTTTCTCACTGCCGGGGCCAGGACTCTGCAAACCACATTTCTGCTCTCCACCTGGCTCCCTGCGGGTTTCTCTAGGACCAGGTACTAGAGGAGACTGGCAGGCAGCAGGAGGAGGAAGGGCTTCCTGTTGTCCACCCTTCCTGTCGGCGTGAACTTACCCACGCTTCTGCATCCCAGCAGTGGCAGCAGAGTTCAGTAGTGGCGGTTGATTTCCAGCTTAAAGTTTTTAAAAATTTCCAGGACCAGCATCACTGCGCCCCCTCAGACACCAGCAGCACCGTCTTGCCAAACTCCTCTCTTCCGAGTTTTGGATTCCAGCTCTACACAGCTCTCCTCCAAGCTTTAAAAATGTTTAAATCCCAACCTCCTAGCCCCCCAAGCCCAGGGGTGACAGTTGTTTCTGGCACTTACTACCCCTCTGACACCTTGGTGTTTCCCTCTTGTCTTTTTAGGCCTCCAATACCCAACTCACAATTCTTTATATTAAATTTTCTTTGTTAAAATAACTGGTGGTTTCTGTCTCCTGACAACTACCCCAAATAAGTCTCCCTATTATGCTCTACTAGTGCCTATCTCCTTCAATTTAAATTACAAAATAATGGATAAATACACACCTTTTTTTCTGTCTTTCACTGGTTTGTAAGCTTCATGAGGGCACAAGCCATGTCTGTTTTATCACCATGTACTAGTGATACACAGTAGTTGAGATACAAAAGGTACTCATTTAATACTTGTTCAACGAATGAATGATGGATCATTTCAGTGTTGAGTGCATCCTGAATTATACGAGCAATACAACTGTTTCCACGATCAGACAGTGAATTCTTTTTTATACCTGATGAGTCTGTAGTGACCGTGTGACACCCTATGTGGTATTAGCTCCCCATAGATGTTCACATCCAATTCTCCAGAACCTGCAGATATGTTACCTTACAAAGAAAAAAAAAGACTTTGCAGCTGTGATTAGTTAAGGATCTTGAGATGACAGTGCCCTGGATTTTGCAGGCGGGCCCAGTGTAATCACAAGTGTCCTTATAAACAAAAGGGGGAGGCAGGAGAGTCAGCTGAACAAGACAAGGAAGCAGATTCTCTCCTAGAGCCTCCATAAGGAACATAGTACTTATTTTAGCCCAGGGAGACGCATTTGGACTTCTGACCTCTAGAACTGTAGGATAATAAATGTGTGTTGCGTTGTTTTAAACCACTAAGTTTGTGGTCATTTGTTACAGCAGCAACAGGAAACTAATACATCTGGTATAGAAGTCCAATGGGCTACAGGTTATGCTGGCCCAGTGCTGAGAGAGAAGGCGGGTGGAGATGGGGGAACTAGACCCATCAGCACCCACGATACTCACAGCTGAGAGAGATGAGATCACAAAGGGCAAAGGCAGTGTGCAGAGGAACAGGTGAGGAAGCAGCGGGTGGAGCCCTCAGCGCTGCAGCCAGGACTAAAGGAGGAGTGAGTGGTGCCTCTCCTCACCTGTGGCTGTTCAGTGGGTTAGGTGAGACGAAGGCCACAGTGGGGAAGGGAAGCAGAGCAGCTGGGGACGCCAAAAATAAATTTTAGAACGTGGTCCACAACCTACCTGAGGACGGTCAAATAACAATCACACACAGCACTTACTGCCACTCCACACTGCCTGGCAATTCAACCCCAATGCCCTAGTATATTTGTCTTCCCTACTTTACACCTTCTTGTCTTCAAGTTCCCTGCCCCCTCCCCTCCCCTCTCTGACTCTCCAGTGATCATCTTGCCTCTTACTCATTGAGAAAATTAAAGGAAAGCAGAACAGAACACCCTCATTTCCCCCACCTCCAAATTCCTAACCTGCCTCCACCCGTCTTCCAGATCTGCTGTGCCCTCACGGTGCACCTGCACCCACCTTACATGCTGTCACCACGGGGGGAGGCTCCCTCCTCCTAAAGGCCAATGCCTCCAGTTGGGCACTGGATCTCGTCCCCTCCTCCGGCCCTTGGAAGTCTCCTCCTCTCTCCCACATCACCAATTTCTCTCTCCTTACATACAAGAAGACCTCAGTATCTCTCATCTTTAAGATGCCCTCCATTGACCCCACAGCCCTATCCCACTATTGCCCCAAGTTGCCTATAGTTGTTTCCATTTCTTCACCTTACACTCACTCCTCAGACCATGCCGGATGTTCTCTGGATCCCACTCCTCCCGAGACTGCTCTCAGGTGTCGAGGCCACGGTGACCTCCACACTGTTGAATGGAACAGTCTTCTGTTACCACGTTCTCCTCCTGCCTCCGTGGGTCCTCCTCCTCCTCTACTTGACCTCCAAATGAAGGGTCCTAGAGCTCTTTCTTTGGCCCTTTCTCTTTTTTTTTAGCTACACATTTTCCTAGGTCATCCAGTCAGTCCCCAGGCTTTCAAGTCTAAGTAGAATGGCCACGCCTCCAGTTTATCCAAAGGCCAACTTGACATCATGGGGGTCTAAAAAGCATCTCCAACTTACCACGACCAAACCATAACTCTAAATTTCCCTCCTCCCAACCCCTTCTTCCCAATTTTCACACCTTATAAATGGCACCACCATCCACTCAATTTCCCAAGTCAAAATCTGTAAGTATCCTTGAATGTTCTCTAACAAACTCATCATCCAACCCATTAGCAAGTCCTGTAGACTCTACTTCCAAACCATTTCAATCTGTCTAATTTTGTGTCCCCCACCACCCCCAATATCCAAGCCACCTTTTGGCGTGCACCTATGGAACAGCTTCCTAACTGGTTGGCTCAATTAGCTCTGCTGTTCCCTTTTAACAGGATATTTGTCCCCTGATATTTGCTGGCTTTTTGTCATTCAGATCTCAGCTTAAACCTCACCTTGTCACCGAGACCTTCCCGCTGCAGCCAACCTAAAACTACTCTCAATCACTTCTTGTTCTAATTCTCTGCAAAGCACCTATCACTGACATCTTGGCCGTCCTCCCGGCTGTTTATGACCGTATTCCCCGGGGCCTGCACACCGCCCGGCACATGGCAGGCACACGACAAATACCTGTTGAATGAATGCAAAGGCGCCTCGTGCGTCCGGGGGTTGTGCTAACCTACGAACACTGTACTCGTCCCACCTCAGCAGGACATTTTCACAAAATACAGAATTCCACACTGAGGGTGAACTGGACGCCTGGATGCCCTCCCCCACCAGTAACCCGCCTTCCTCCAGCACTGCCTCACCGCCCCCGCCCCCCAAAAAAAAGAGTGAGAAGAGACTCGGAAAACACGGTGATCACTCTGGTCCTGTGCCACGTTTCGTGGGCTTCATCGGCCTCAAGGCGACAGAAAAAGCAGCAGCCCCAGCCGAGGGCGGCCGAAGGCAGAGGACTCACAGCCCGCCAAGGGCGACCACAGAGGGGCGACCACAGAGGGGCGGACGTAGGTGCCAGGCGCGGCACGCCGGGAGATGTAGTCTCCGAGGAGGCCGCGTCCTGTGGGAGCGGGACGCCCGCGGCATGCTGGGAGCTGTAGTCTCCAGGGAAGCCGGGTCCTGTGGGATCGGGTTCCCCGCGGCATGCTGGGAGCCGTAGTCGACGGCTGGAAGCGCGCCGCGGCGAAGGGCCTGTTGTTGGGACTCCGCCTCTGCGCTTCAAGCGGCGAGCGGGGGCTCCTCAGTGCATGCTGGGAACTGTAGTCTTCCTGGGACGCCGCGCCGCCGGGCTGGAGAGGCGCGGGAGGCCGCGCCATCTTAGGCCTCGAGGTGCGGCCGCG